TGTGTGTGTGTGTGTGTGTGTGTGTGTCTGTTACTGACTGAACGTGTGTGAGACAGAAACATGAATGAAATTCTTGTCATTAACCTTCTGAACTCCGATTTCCTCCGTAAATTTTTTCTGAAGTAGTTTAAAGGTTCGAGAACGACTCGTGTTTTTCTTCATGCTGTAAATTTTCTTTGTCAAATATGTTTTGGAGGAAACGACAGCGTGGATCCTGTTCACTGCTCCAACATCTGGGCCGGAGTTTAGGAGAACTGATCTTTATGCAGAAAAAAAAGATCTGAATTTTGACGACAGCAAATTAATACACTTTTCTTTTCCTGCGTCTGACAAACACACATGTTTTTTTAATGTTACCCATTTTTTTCGTTCAGCAACAGAAGCCAAAGTTCTCCAGGGCCACTTGATAAGTGAGATTTTTTTTTAGTCCGACTAAACTAGATAAAAACTTTGCATATTTTTGAATTAGAAAATGTTTCTGCTGCTCGTACTTTACATCTTTTCTTCATAAACCTTTCAAAAGCGAATAACACACGTTTGAAAGGAAACTGACGCCACCAGGATTATATCTTCACCAGTAGAACTTCATTTAAACTTAATTTGAAGATTTTTATCATTATTTTCTTACAATATCCGTTTGTACTCAAGTATCAGTGTCAGTGTTCTCACGTATTAAAAGTATTTTTTAATAGAACCTTGTCACTGATACTAGAGAGTAAAACATTGTTGTAAAGAGAAATGTCCTCATCATCTTGTAACAGAGTGTCTGAGACTTTACATTCTATAATTCAACCATAATCTGTTTTTATAAATCACTATAAATCTTTTTCTAATCAATGGAAACGGATCAACACTGATCAATACTAACCACGTGATGGACGGAGTTCTGTCCTCCCTCCATTCAAACCATGTCACGGTTGTTTGTTCTCCTCGATGACGGTCATACTTGTCCTCTCTCCTCGTTACTATGGTAACAAGATGTCAATCGATGTGGCATCTCCATGCTCATCTCCAACTGCTTCGTAACCACGGAGACGGGAGGGAGAAGCTTCGTGGGTCTGGGTTCAGACGTAGACGCCGTCTGTCGCGGTGCCTTGCTCAAAGGCTCCTCTGCCATTTAAACCAGCAAAGAAAGAAGGGATGGAAAGAAGGAAGGGTTAAGAGAATGAGAGAGAGAGAGAGAGAGAGGTGGAAATAATCAAAGTGAGGAGTGAAAGGTGTTGGAGCAGGAAAGAAAGGAGGAGGTGAAAGAGAAAAGAGAAGAAGGAGAGGAGGGAGGCGAAGTAGGGGAAGAATGAAAGAGTAAAGGAGAGAAACTGAATAAGGAATTAGGAATGAGGGAAGGATGGACAGGTGGAAGAGATCACAACAGGATAGAGGAAGAAAGATTTAACAGCAACAAGAGAAGTAAAAGAAGGAGAAGAAATAGAAGAGGATGAGGGACAGAAGGGGAGATGATAAAGAAGGGAGGAATAAGTAAGGGGAGGAGAAGAAGGAAGCGAGGGAAGGAAAGGATGGAGGTGACGAGAGAAAGCATGAATCAAGTAACAAAACAGGACGTGGTCGACTTCCTGAATGTGATCATCACATCACTTCCTGTGGTTGTCCTGCCGTGATCACTCACACACACACACACTCTCACACACACACACACACACTCACACACACTCTCTCACACACACACACACACACACACACACACACACACACACAGCGGGATTGACGGTGTTAGACAGTTTAAGCAGCTTTAAAGGAGAAGATACAGAAACGTAATCTGACTCTTAATTCTTACTGTCTGATTTTAGTTTGAGTGAGTGAGTGTGTGTGTGTGTGTGTGTGTGTGTGTGTGTGTGTGTGTGTGTGTGATAACCCAGGATAACATGACTCCGGTCCAGTGAAGTACAGGGAGCTTGACTTTGCATCATAGAAAACGACTGAATTAGATGTTTGTGTTTCCGTCGTCTCTCGTGACGTCTGTTGTCGTACATTTCTTCACATTTGACTATTTATTCATCGAGGTTTTATTTATTTGTACACAACCCAACTTTTTTTTTGTCCTTCTTGTCCCCCCTCTCTTCGTCTCCACATCTTGTTGTTCCTCTGTTTCCTTTCTTTACTTCCTCTTCCTCTAAACAGGGAAATTCAATTCAAATATCAGGCCCAAAATGTTGGACTTCATTGATCCTAAAAAGACGATTGTTTTAAGGGGGAACGAGACGTTTTGGCTTCCTATGGCGTCGTCCACTTGTTTCCAACCAACAGGAATCTTCACAGCAAAAACAGAGACGGGATACGTTGGTTTGATTTTTCCGACAGGAGGAGCAGATCTCACGTCTCCAGTCGTTTTCAATAAACTTTGTCTTCAAGTCTGTTAACGGAGATTATGGCGACGGCCGTTACCATGGGAGACGTGGTGTCTGAAACGCTCCCAGTTGGGACGATGTAAAACGGTTTGATTACGCTGCAGAGTTTGGCTGAGAAGGAGTCTTCAGAGAAGCCTCAGTTAAAGTGGAGGTCTCTCTTTCATGTGTTTTGTATCAGCGCTCACTAAGAGCTGCTTTTATTTTTCACCATTATTGAGATTTATCTGCCACGTCTCACTGGGTCTTTATCCAGAGCCGAGGAACATGTGTCGACTTCTGACGAGGATTTTCTTTCAGAACAAAGATTTTATTTTTATTCAGTAAGAAATGTTTGAGTGTTTGATTTGAAGAAATAATTAAGAATAGAAATCTGAGCAGGATCAGGAGACGCTATAGAACACACACACACACACACACACACACACACACACACACACACACACAGGCGCATGCAGGCACGTACGCAAACAATTTTCTAGTTTTAAATAATACAAAGAGCGGCTCAATGGTCAAGCTCGGGCACAGGCCTGTTTTTGTCCTCGGTGATCACACACACACACACACACACACACACA